TTTTTGTGGTATTTTGTTTCGTTTTGTAACCACTTTATTTTATTGTATTTTATGAATGACTATTTCTATACATTTTAGATGTCAAAAAGAAAATAAATATTATTATTATTATTATTATTATTAAACAAAGCAAATATTCAATTGTGATATTGAGATTCACATACATCAGAACTCCATACATTTTTACACAATAAAATAGACATGTAATTTTAATTTTTTCTGTTTCAGATATTTTTCCATAACAATTTTGAGGAACTTGGGAAATACATATCATTAGAATTGTTACCCAAGGAGTTTGGTGGTTCAGAATCATCAATTATTGAATTGAATGGTAGGAAGATTAAGTAATTAGTTAATCATAACTGGAGACGCAGCCCTAGGACATTGTAGCATTAATACATCTTGAACTAGCATATTCGATGCTGTCGAAAAAAAAAATTTCGCTTATTGAAGTTGATATAGTTGTTTACCGATACTATCACGAAAACTATCAAGTCAAATTGAATTTTTCGAAAGATTTGCCAGACATAACAAAAATCAGTTTTATTATTGAATATACTGTTTTTTCACTAATCAGTAAAATATATATTGATTGATTTTCCTTATACTTATGGAGTTCAAAGGTAGAAACTTCAAACTGAATTTTTTTGCGAGATATGATAATGTTCCCAATGTATTGAACGAAAGTCATTTTTTGTGGGGGAAAATCAGTAACTTATCGGGGTCAACTAAAAAGTTTGCCCTTCCTGTATAAATGTCTTCATTATAATTCTCATATTTTTCAGTTTCTGATGTACTTTTAAATTTTTAGACCTATGGAAAAAAAAGTTAACCGAAAACGCTGACAGATTCGATGCATTGGTGAAAATGAAGATCGACGAAAAACTGAGACCAGAACCTTTAGTTAATGACGAAATACTCGGCTTTCACGGAAACTTCAAAAACTTGGACGTAGATTGACTGGTCTGAACAACATTCAGTTTCATGATTTCTGTCGAATAATAATAAAGATCTATGAACTAATTGTGATTTATATTCAACAGAGCGATTTCCAGTACATATCAGGAATTGATGAGTTATTTCTTCCGTTTATTTTTTGTTTTCAAAGATTATGCATCATGTACGACATTAGAATTATTTACGACATTAGAATTATTTTTTTCAGTAGGAGAGATAGTAGCTCAGTCGACAAAAAATTAATTTGCTGAAAACAACTTTTATTATGTATAACTGAAATTGGCAAAATTACCAAATGAGAATAACATTCTGAAGGGACATTTCCACAAAAAAATGTTCATAAGTTAAAAACTTGACTAGTTAGGGATACGTATGATATATAATAATCATAATAATCAATTCATCAGTGAATTACAATACATAAAAATGAAATAAAGTATATCGAGTACAATATACCTTGATCACACATACTTTCACTGAGGGTGAAACCCTGTGTGTGGGTAAATTACAGAACAATAACAAAATAGAACAATTATAATAATTAAAAACAATTTGGGTGAAAAATATTAGGATCCAGATATCAAATATAATAAAATTTATTTTAATGTTTCACAGTTTTTGTATATCTCAAATACTAAAATAAATTAGGACAAAAAGAGTCACTGAATAAAATAAACATCTGAAAACTTATGAAAGATAAAATTAAATTAACATTTATAATTCACAATTTTGTATAGATGAAAACTACAGTAAATTAGTACAATAAAGTGTCACTGAATGAAATACACTCATTTTATCACAACACAACAAAGTTTTTGTTTCGGGGTTGAAATTAGATGATTTTAATGTATTTCCACGTGTTAAAACCGAAAGTGACCATAAAAATTATATATTAGCTCTTGTTTTCAAGATATAGTATCATTATATTATATATATGTATATTGAGTTTTCAACAAATGAAATATTTCATCACCAACAGTTGGTACACATGTTTGTTTACATAACACCCCTCTCATCAGCTGTTCTTAAGTAGTAAACATAACCTATGTGAGTTTGTCAATTGTACGCACGTGGTTGCTATTGAAATTATCGTGTGAAGTTGATTTTTAAATTAATTTAAGTGCTGATCTGAAATGCCTCGAANATTGAAATTTGGTGGTACAAACTTCTTTTAATTGTCAAAACACTAAGAATAATGTTTTTTTTATTAATTTTGTACTTAAAATATTCTAAAAGAAACATAACAATATTGTTTTATGTACTTTCACTTTTCACGTATAGTATAACTACTCTTTAAGATTAAGTACTGTGTATCTCAAAAACCAGAGCTAATAAAAATTTTTCATTGTTATTTTCGTTTTTATCACCCCAAAATTAGTAGAAATTGACTAATTTAGTGTAGGAAACATCCAAAAAATATTTTTTTGTTGTGTTGTTATTAAATAAATTCTACAAACATCTGAAAGTACAATCTCTATTTGAATAAAAGCATTCAACATTTTCTTTTTTTTACTCTTCTATAATTTTAGGTATTTCCTTTCTTTCTATTTCAGTTAAGAATGTTTTCAAATGTTTCTTGAATTTTTTGAGAGAGGATTCCAATTACAAAGTGTCTGGCAGGTAATTGTACAATTTCGGGACTATGTTATTGAAACTTTTTTATTCGACTGTTTTGTTAATTTTTGGAATAACATATCTATTTTTCTGTCTTGTACTGTAGGAATGGGTAAGTACTTTAAATTTTTCTTTGTTCAAATATTGTTCAATATTGTCTGTTTTGAATCTGTTTAAATCTGAATCTGTTTTAAAAAAACTTTTCAAAATCTGTTTTTCTGTTAACCAGCTGTCGTGCCCCTACAAACGAAAACCCTAAAAAGTCGCCACTTTGCTAAGCTGAGGATTACCGAGGTCTTACCTTTGAACGTGTGATTCATAACACTGGTTGGACGATAGCAAGTGAAAATCGATCGTTAAGACTAGGGCTTGAACCACCGACCAACACGGCAGTCAATTCGAGTGAGTGAACAAGCAGCCACGTCGAACCGCCTGGCTACCGGTCGACCTGATTATTTTATTTTTTTTACGGGTTCAATTTTCAAATTTGGTTGAATGGTTGAGTAATAGTGGGGAAGAGAAGTTTCGAAACTACTGAACGGTAGGTAATGTGTTTTTTCAGTGTTCAACGAGAGGAGTCTACCGTGGCAAAGTTAGTTTACAACTCCTTGTCAACTTGTTTTGTATGTTACAATATTAATTGTCAGTATTTCAATTTGAATTTGAAGGTCGTTAACTTCAAGTCTGACAAATGGTTATATTAACGTAAAGGCATAAAACAGTTCCACAAATGATTGATTACGGATATAAAACCCGAACACAATAGGAAGTAGCTCACCTATTTTATGAGACATTTCGTAATTCACCGCTCAAGGAACAATAAGCAAAATATATTAGCAGTTTTGCGAACTTGGTCATGTGGGGCAGATAAAAAAGCAGCTATCAATGAAATGAGTGATGAACTGTGATGTTAGTTTGTGGAAAACCCACATACATCGAGTAGACAGGCATTCACTACATTCAATGTTAGCTATACATCGATAGTAAACATATTGAAATACCTCCTCAGGAGCTCATGGAAGACAATTTCGATAGTAGAACTTATTTTTGTGGGCAAATGATGGACATGTTGGATAACAATATCATCTAATTAGAAGCAAATGATGTCATTTCAAATTCAACAAATTTATATTCTCAGTGTCATTGCTTTTTGAGTTTTAAAGCCGTGGATTTTTGGAATTTCTTCCTGACGTTTCGCTGGTGCGACTGGCTAGCTTCTTCAGAGGTTTAACCATCATGGCTTGCTTTCCGATGAGTCATTGGACTCGAAAAGCAATGACACTGAAAACCTCAGCCGTGAAAGTCTAAATCATTTTGTCAAATTTATATCCAGGAACCCCTGTTCCAGTGAATACGATATGGTTTCAGTAGGATGGATCACATTACCAAGTTAATGTCTGGTACTACATGCGGGAGCATTAAAAACATTGACTAGCAATGCTTTGCTCAGGGTTTATTCAAGTCATCAAATAGCGAAAAATGCTCGGTTTAATTTTTTACACACATAGTTGATTTGTTCACAACAAGTAAATTTTTTTCATCAATCATCGTGCCAAGAAATTCAGTTCAGGCTTGTGGACACTTCAAAATCTTCTATTTCGACAGTTGTTTCTCCACTAGCCAACTGTTATATGGTCATATTGGTCATATAAATTATCCAAACATAATTTCGTTATTTGGAGTCTTAGAAATGTTGTCCACATTGACATTTCATGAAGCTGCTAGGTAATATGTCTATGTTTACTCAATAAATTAAAACTTAATAGCAATAAATATGCATGTATATTTTTTTTCAGAAATAACATACCGATACATTTTCAATACTCCCTGGACAATGCTATTATTAACAGAGTAGACCACATAGACATTGGAATCTATTTTGATACAAAAATAACTTTCAATTCCCATTTTGATTGTTGTAAATTCCTGCAGCCAAACCTTGGGATTTTTCTGCAGAATATGCAAAGACTACAACAACGAGGCAATCAAATATATTTACTATGCATTTGTTTATCGTAAACTTAATTTCGGAAGTGTCATATGGAGCCCACATTAAAATACACATAGATTACGATTAGAAAGACTCCAGAACAGATTTGTAAGGTTCTTGCATTTCAAAATGACGAAGACTTATATAAACTTGGCATTAGCGAAATTCGATCTCACTACAAAATACAGCTTCTAGAACAACAAAGAATAATAACGACTCAGTTTTTTTTTTCATAAAATTATAACAAACTTTTATGACTCACCCAATCTAGTATCAGTGATTTTTTATCACGTTCCTCATAGGAAAATTATTTGCTAGTTCGAATTTCAACACAAATTTGAACAAAAACTCCCCAATGCGTGATTCAACAAATATTGTAGTAACGTAAATGTTTTCTCTTTTACGTTGAATTCCTTCAAAATAACTATGAAAAAAATATTCAACCCATTGCAAAAAAAATGAATAATTGGTCAGTATGTACGAAATTTATTTATTCATTAATTTTTATTTTTTCTTGTATCTGTTGACACCGTGTATCTCTGTAACCACTACTATCAGTGGATACTTCTATGGGTATTTACCTGTTTGCATCCCAAATTTTGAATAAATGAATAAATAAATAAAGTCTAAATTATTGCGTAGTCTGCAACGGTAACTGGAGCAGATTGAATGATCTGTTGATTGCTCAAGGAAGAAATTAGAAACCATGTGTTTTGAAAAATATTGTGATTCTTGTAAGCAGTTATTCACTGAATTACAAATTTCAACTGTAATAACTTTGAATATTTCAAATTGTGGCACTTAACAACAAAAATCATTACTATAAGTTTCAGCAAAGGGATACTATTCGCATAGCCGTTGGTTATTCTCTTAGACAAAATTATAATCCGATAGTTTCTGTACATGAATTAACATCTGTATCAAACGCACCTCATATTATGAGAAAACTTCTAGTCTCATTAGTTTCAAAAATAGCGTTAAAAGTCTATTGTAAAAAAATGTCTTCACTCACTTGATGAGTATTTTCAAACTGATCTGGCTGCTTGACACAATTACTGTTTGCTTGTTTACTATTCTACTGTTTATACTTTATATTTTTTAATTGAATAGAACTGGCCGATACTTGCTGAAAATCCTTAATAAAACCCATCATTATCGGTAATTGTATGATTTTCACTATATAGGATTTTGCAAAAACCGCGACATCGGTTTCGCTATAGAATAACTTTCTCAGGAGGTTTTTGTAAAACCCTTCATGGTGAAAATCATACAATCAACGATATCAATGAGTTTTTATATATTTTTTTTTAATACTTGAATTTATAATTATTGCATATAATACATTTGTAATATAATTGGAACATACAAATACAAATCAATTAACAGAATTAACAGAAAAGAGAAAAAAAACACCTCAAAAGTGCTGCTTCNCTGCATTTTTTGAAGACCCTGTATGAGGCAAATGGAAATATGACTCGAAGTGGAGATCCTCATAGTATCACTCCACTCCATTCCAAATTTGATCGTTTTAGTGCAAGAGAGTTCCAGATTATCAGCATTTATAAAAGTTCATGTTTGGTAAAAAAAATATCGAAATTAATTTATATCTTCTAAACGGTAATAGATAGGTATAGGGAAATAGTATATGAATTCGTTGACAAAGTGATAGTCAATCATAATATGATATTATATACGGGGTGTTCCATCTGAAAAATCAAAGAAGCTGCTATTTTATAGTAGAAGCGACAACGCCGCTTCGTCTGAAATATTTTAGGCGTGTAGGTCATATTGCTTTATGCATACTGTGAAATTTTCAGGTTGATCCGTTAAATAGTTTGTCAGAAACTGCTAATTAACGCTCATCATGAAAAGCCCTGTATAAATTTGAATAACAAGGTCTCAAACGAAGTCAATGATTATGTCAACAATTGAACAGAGAATGGTTATCTTTCAGACATAAATGAATCAACTAGAGTAACCAATGAATCAAAGAGTATTCTGGATCACATTTTTGTTAGAAACTGTACAAACTCAAAAAATTATGCAACGGTAATCAAAATAATGTAGCTTCACGAACCAAACGTGAAAATATCACCATTAAAAAAATTGACTATGAAAATTAAAGGACATCCTAACCAATGAAACATGGGCCGATGTTTTACAATGCGAAAATTCCCAAAGTTCATATGATAATTTCAGCGACAAATTGAAGCAATATGTGAACCGAGCAACTAAACATCAAGTCATATCAAAAAATAGAAACTACAAACTTACACCGTGGATAACTTGGGGTTTGATAAAATCAATAAACAAAGACAATATAAAAAAAGGTTTATGAATAACTATTTAGATGAGTTTAAAAATGAATTTACTCAATATAGAAATGAATCAAATAAATCAGTTAAAACAACGAAAAATCAATACTATAAACAGAGGTTACATGAAAACTCAAGTAATCATAAAAAGACGTGGAAAATAATAAATGAAATCACGAATAAAATGGTAAAAAAAGCTCTAATAATAATAATGTTAATAATATGTCAGGTTCAAATGGTGAGGTTTTATCTAACAACAAGACGAAATTCAACTCATTTAATGCGTTGGCTACGATACTTTTAGATACTCAAATGGAGTAGCCGAGATTTTGTAATCTTTAATTAGGAATAAAATGTCTGCAGATCAAGAAGAAAATTAAAGGCCCGTATAGAAACAAAGAAATGGGTAGCAAAACAACGTATTTCGAAGACGTACCACTTATATTGGAAAAAGGCCTGAAGTACAATAACAAAACAGAAGATGAATTAAAACAAGATATTCAGATCCTCCAAGAATGGGTGGAGACTCAGCCACATTTACCTGAAGTGCCAGGTTAGTTGATATTCTGAAACTGTTTAGTGGAAATTTCTTTAAATTCATTTTGAAATCAGTGTTTGTGAATGCAGGAAAATGATTTATGACAACAAAGTTATTTTCAAATTTCCAGAATGATATTTTCATCTTTTCACTGTTTGAGATTCATTTCATTCTTCCACTTTCACCAGGTCTCTGGAAAACACTGAAACCACATGAGCTTATTCATATATTCATGAATTTTCATCCATAGGAGATTATTTGTTGGATGTTTGTTATTTTTTTCTGCACTGAGTTCAGGTTGTTCATGAAGTGAAGAATGTGATCCAATTCTTATATTTGTATAGGACATGATGAGCTGTTCCTTCTTTTTCGTTTCTGTATTGGATAATATTCAGTGATTAGCCCTCAGCCGATATCTACTCTGCTGAATCAGTTCTTGGGTTTTTTTTTCAGATAACCTTTCGTTTAGTTATACCTGCTATTAACTGACTGATTTCAAAATTTAGTCAGATTGAGTCGATACGGGCTGTTTGCTAACAACAGTACCAAACTTCAGAGGGTAATTCATTCGTTAGGTCGTTTTAAGGAAAAAGTTCCTATGAACATATATGTTCGGAATTGCTTCGTTTCTGAAAAACATGGTATTTATGAAATATCATAAATATCCTTACACCGATTTGATTGAAATTTGTTACAGTTATTTAAAGTAATAAGGCGATTATTTAGCCCTAACTAGATTGGAATTAGTAGGTCCAGTAGAGTCTCAGTGGGCAACACTATTGCCAACAATATTGGGAGAAAAAGTACGCCACTGACTTTTTTCAGATATTCAACTGAAAATACAACTTTCTCGTCGCTTGTGTTGCATATCATAAACACCTACTTCGGAGACTAGCTGACAGTGGTAGTTTTGTTATATCAGTCAGAGTTGTCAATTAGCAGTGATTCCATTATGAATGATTTTACCAACGCGGAATTGGCTGACATGCACTTTTTTATGGATCAACAAATGGAAATACGGACGAAGTACGGAGGATTCACCAGGGCAGATATCTTGACAGAGTAATTCCATGTGCTAAAACATTCAGAACGCTACGTGCAAAATTACGTGAATCTGGGAGTTTCGAATTGCAGGTGATGGAAGGCCAAAAACTGTAACTACCTTTCATACCCTAGGAAGTAGAATGGTAGGCGCGAAACGATGATGTGGCCCCCACAATCTCCAGATCTGAAGCTGGGTGCAACCAAGTTGCAAAATTTCAAATTTTTTCTTGTGAAAGGTTTTGCTTCAGATCTGTGCGATTTAAAATCGTCATAAAATGTAGAAATTGAAGCGTAATCCCAATACACCGATGCGAGTGATAGATTGAAGCTGATAATAAAGGAACCCTAGAGATTCGATCAGCAGGGTCCATTCACTAACCACCATTAGTGATTGGCCACTGTTTCGACAATGAACAAATCTACGGACACATACCGTGCATTTTGCGAATAACTTCCAAAGTAATTCTGCTGATTTCGACTCGGATTCGATTTTCTAACTACTCTGAATTCAACGGTCCAGTAGCTTCAGATCTGGAGATTTTGCGGGCCACTCTATCGTTTCGCGCCTATCAATCTACTTCCTAGGTTGACGTCACATGGATAATTTTAAAATATACCGCAACCATATGCTTCCATTCGGTAAGTTGGGGTTGTGTGCGTTTGGAACAATACTGCGAGACTTATCTATGCTGTTCTCAAGCTCATCGCATGGTTGTAACATCCCACGATTTTTGCTCGGATTAGTCCAAGCTTGCGCTCGTCTCGTCACAACCTGAGATTTAGGAAAACATTGCAAAATGAATATTGCAAAATGTCACTCCTCGGAGCTCTCACCAAGGCTCTAACCCCATAGACTACACCAATGGTTTCTTTTCAGGTATGCATAGTTCGTATATCCCATACTTGAGTTTTCATCTAGCTATTTCTCTAAAACGGATGAAGAACTATCGCAAATTCTGCAGGAAAAAGTTAGTTAGTGTCAAGTAAAACTCAGTTGAGAAATAGACCTTTTGTGAAATATTCTCCACATATTCTGAGTGCAGAAGGTTTTGAAAGTGAACTATGGCTGCTTTGAGTGAAATCCAACGTATGTTAATTCTGATATTTGATGGATTTGGACATAAAATCAGAACTCAGCAAGAGGCATTCGAACTGTTCGATACGAAGAATCCAAATATACTACTCATCACTCGTTCAACAGTGTGCATGACTGAATAAAATAGAGAAACTGGTTATGTCAAACATATTCCGAATGCTGAAGGTCGTTTAATTGAAGATAAAGTTGAACTTGATACTCTATCAAGTGCAGAGAATAGTACATTGTATTTCAGATTGTATACTAAAGTGTTCTTGAAGTTGACCAGTATCATACATAGAAAGTAAAATAACAACAACTGAACTGATTTGAAACACTGAGGAACAAATACTGTTTTTTGATGAGGCTACTTTCTAGCTGAATGGTTCAGCGAATCATCAAAAATGCAGATATTGGAGCTGGTCGTCATTGGACGATTGAGAAAGTTAATGTTGGAGCAGGGATTATGAAAAAAGCATTGTTTACCCTTATTTTGTGAAAAAATTCTCACAAGGAAGCGTTACTTGGATTTTTCTAGTAATAAACTCATACTTCGCACTATGAATGTGATGGTTACCAGTTTCTAAATGAATGTTTCTCTAGGAGGTGAATTGGTAAATGTGGAACGGTAGAATGCCCTCCAAGATCTTCGAATCTTGCGCCACAAGATTTTACCTTGTGAGGTTACTCGAAATCGAAGGTTTAGGTTTGTAGTCAGCAAAATTCAGAGGAGTTTGAAAATCGTATTCGGGTCGAAATTAGCAGAATTACCCCACAAGTTATTCACAATGTGTAAGAGAAATGTAACTGTAAATTTTCTGATTGTCAAGATACTAGTGGATGGTAGTTTGAACATCTCATTTGAGTGATGTTTTTTGTCGGCTATAAAGTTGTTCTCCCACAGAAAAAAATATTGATTTTTGGTAACCCAGTACAAATAGATCAAGTTAATGATGATCACTGAACGCAACGGGCAGGTTCCCTGCCCGTGTGGGTATGGGGAGCCGGAAGCGGCAGAGCATGTGATCGATAGATGTTTGATAGGGGACAGGATTGGATGGAGAGAATGGAAGGAGAGAATGGAGAGGGTGAATGGAGAAATGAGTCTAAGGGATGAAAACGGAAATAAGAGGGAATGGATACGATTTGCGAATGAATGGGCAGACAGTGTGGTGAGGGACGAAAGGGAATGATTTGGGCAAGTTACCAACTCATTGCNCATGTAAAGAATCAGGCGGTCTCGTTCGTTATGAATGCACATCCTACACCACGAGTTGTTTTTGAAGCATCAGTGAAGATTTTCTGGTGAAGTGGGTATTCAGATATTACAGTTTGGTAGTCAGCTTGGATCAGCTGGGGATTTGTGGTTGCTTTGCTCATGGATAGTAGCTGAGTATTTGTTGATGGGTTCAAGTGTGAGTGTTCCGTCTCTATTGTGATATGAAGCATTTTGTCTTCAGAAATTCTTCAATTTCAGTTTAGTGTGCGTGCTTGCGTAAGTGTGTGTGTGTTTGAATAACGGGTAATTTTTTTGAGAGGTAAAGGATTTGATTTTCAAAGCAACACAAAAAATTTGAAAAAACTGATGAAATCTTTATTGGAATCGCCAGAACGATCAATATAATTCAATGTTTGAAAATGATTCCATGCAAATATTGTTCGCGGTTCCGCTTTAGATGGCCTATGCGCAAGGTCCAATTTTGGCACACTCTCTCTAACATATCGACCAGTATTTTACGTATAAATGTTTCAATATTGGCCTCCAGAGTGTCAGTCGTTGCTGGTTTATCCCTGTAGACATGATCCTTAACATGACCCCACAAGAAATAATCCAAAGACATTAAATCACACGATCTAGGCGGCTAACTGACGGGCCCCAAACGTGAGATAAACTGTTCACTGCAGGCGGCTCTCAATTGAGCCATTTTGTCGCACTGTCTTGTTGAAACCATTTGTCAGGTATGTCCAATTCTTCCATTTTGGGCGACAAAAAGTCGTCAATCATTACACGGTAGCGCTCGCCATTCACAGTAACGTGCCGACCATTGTCGTCTTTGAAGAAGTATGACCCGATGATGCCACCGACCCATAATCCACACCAAACAGAGATGCATTGGTAGCTTTTGCAATGCTTGTGGCTGGTCTTCACGGCAATTTTGCTTGTTAACGTATCCATTCAACCAGAAATGAGCATCATCGCTTATAGGGTTTCACACCCAAATCCTTTCGCAAAATTTTCCACGTAGTGGAGTAACAGAGGTCCAATTTCTGCTAACGGCGGCGAATCGACATTTCACGGTCATCACGAATACTGGCGGATACAGCCGCAATATTTTCTTCAGTCCTCACTCTATTTATGCGTGTTGGTGGTTTAATGTCCAATAATGTAAACTGGATTCGAAATTCAGTCACAAGCTTCCGAATAGCTTCCTTAGGCTGACGAAACTGCCCATAAAATGGAAGAAGTGCACGATGCACTTTTTTCACCGAGCATAAATTTTGATAATAAAATTCAATAATTTGCAAGCGTTGTTCATTTGTAAGTCGAATCATGGTTAAATTATAGACCAAACTGAACAAGTTTGACAATGACACAAGACACGATTCACGCGTGATCTGTCAAAAACAGTGTTGCCAAAAAGATACCAGCAAAAAAAGCACTCATTAGTTTGCACACGGTTTAATCTCTGTTGAAGTATTGATACATATTTTTTTTTCTCCGCTTGACGTTTTGTTCACGATATGAAGCTGTTACTAGTTAATAATCTTTCCCATAGAGGAAGGTTTCATACATCCAGTTGAGCCGCGTTGAAATTAATCAATTTCCAGACACTGCTGGTTGAGTCGGATCTTTCCTGCACTTGTAAGTGGTAATATATCGAAACCGATGTGTAGGTGAACTATTTGAATAATTTTAGCATGGTCCTGCTGCTGGATGAACGAGAAACACCTGTTTGAGTAACCTCTGTGAGGTATCTTCTCTACCATCTCTATTCTTCCCAAAGTCGTTGAAATAATAATGAAAAAGCGTCTGTATGATTACTTCGAGAGCAACAACTTCTTTTCTCAAGGTCAATATGGGTTTCGCAAAAATCGTTCTACTTCTCTAGTCGTCTTTGATGTTGTTGGATCTATTGTACATTGTACATTGCGGATATATTCCATGATTTAGCCGCCCAGTATATAAAAGTATGGTTGGATCTGTTCTTTTTTTACGAATTGTTCCGTGATAAGTATTTGACAGACTTGATCAGTTTTTCATTCAGAGTAAAGCGAACGAAGGAAACAAACACTCTTTTCAAAATGTTCGTTAGTGAAAAATGAAATCAATGTTCAAATTCAATACGGAATTTATACAAATATGTTTCTCATCAGAAAGTTGAAAATTTGTTATGTTATATAAGTGTAGATGTTCCAAAATATTTCAATAGACTTTTTTTTCAGACAATAACATGATGACATGCTTCTTGATGATGAACAAATTCAGTATCGAGAATACCAAGCGAAGGATTGATATGTATTACAGTATGAGATCTTTGTTTCCTGACTTTTTTGAGAATAAACATCCATTGGCCTCACATATGCTGAAACTAATGGATACTGTGTGAGTGGAAACAATTTCAAACCCTGTAATAATGATTTGTCATGGGAATTCAATTTCATTTGTTCTTTTAGGTATTTTTTACCATTACCGAAAGCCACAGAAGAGGGATATCGAGTTAGTATCTTCACAATTCCTGTAGAAGATCACTGCCTTTTTGAAATATCAGATTTCTTTGGACATACTTATAATATAGCAGATGTTAAGTTGCGAGAGGACTGTATGTTAGGCGATATTTTGATCTACGATCTGAAGAATATCAAAATGGCTCAGCTCACTACTGCTACACCTACCATTATGAAGAACTCAGCCACCATTTTTCAGGTATATATATTTTTCCAAAAATTATTGTAGGAAACTGGAAATTGAGTTGTCACAAAAAAATTCTCATCTAAACTACAAACTGAAAATCAACGAAAAAACCATCTCCTTTCAGTAATAACGAAGAAAATAAATATTTATTTCATGTTGGTGCGTTACATGCAGTGTGACCCATTATATTAATGGAAAAACCCCCCTAAAATTTGAAATTGTAAACCGATTTCAATAATTTTTTTTGAAATGTCAAGTACTGAAAGTTCTACCTTGGGACAAAATTTCAAATGTTTATTGAAGTTCCAGGGCATACTACAATATTTTTTCTTAGTCGAAAATCGGGATTTTTCATTAACGATTTTTTAATTGAAAAAATTACTACGTCACTGGATTCATAGTGCCTTTAAACAAACTTGACCGAAATTTCATGGAAAAATATTCATTATCAACAAAGTTATGACAACTCAAAAAATTCGAAAACTCACACAGCAACTGGCTATAAATCAAATCATCTAAAAGAACAATTCGTTCAGGCCAGTCTCAATACGTGAAAGATTTCTTTCCTTTTACGAGGAATTGGGCAAATTTGGATATGCAGTTGGTTACCTCGTTCACAGGCAGATGGAGCGACGATAAACCTGTTGTTTGTTGTAGTCTTCAGGCATAATCCTAACGCCAGTATAAGGAATGCTTCTTTAGATTTGAATATTCCACGAGAAATTATTCGAAGCTTCAGTGATTACCCTGTTTATTCATTTACATGTATTTGTATATTATATGTGAGAAATATGTATAACTTCTATTCGTATTTGTTGAAATGAACATTACAAACAAACAAACATAACACCAGTAATGACATTTCTATATGTCTTGCAAATTCCATGCTGATATATTTTTACGGTTACATAATGCGAAAATTCTTAGGAATTTCTTTTGTAACATTCGAAGGTGAACATAATTGTTCAAAAGTGCCTGTGAATCATTTTATGTATGAAGTTTCTGTGTATCATTGAAAAAGTTATTTTCTGATTGTAATGATAATTCTCATTTCATACATATATGCTTCTGAGATTTCAACCGTTACAAATTGAACTCAAAAATAGTAGATACATTCGAAAATATATCCATTATTACTAGTGTCTCGTCCATGAATTCTATGAAGTCAATATCAAGTGATATAATCATATATTTTTTTACAGGAAGTTTTCAATGCAAATTTGAAACAATTACACTTTGTCAACTGCCCGTCATTTGCGGAACCTATTATATCGTTAGGTAAAACACTGACGAAACCAAAAGTTGCTCAAAGGGTGAGTTGTTCTAAAATTGTAATCTTTACGTAATTGCAAAAACTACTACTCACGATTTTATCTCCACAAACTTTATATGAAAAATATATCACATGTTTCGCTAGCACAAGAGCTTTGTCAAGTGATTTGAATACTTCAAGAGGTTTCTTACACTAATATTTATATACTACAGGTAACTATAATTCAAAAAATTACCTAAACCTCTACCCAATGTACCTGAAGCATATTACCTCACATCTACATACAGAGTGGTCCAACGAAAGGTATGCACCTTGCTTTTCTCCTTTTTTTGTAACTTAACGCAAAAATGCTCGGACAGGTCGATTTTGCTTTTGAGGGGGACACATTTTAGATGTATTTTTTTACCTGTGTCTTCAACCCCCTAGCGAGGGTGAGTAACAACCCTAAAATTTTAAATGGAAAGTGGGGTCGAGTGATATATCATTTGAAAGGGCACAAAATTATTTTTCCAATGATACCTAATTTGTTGTATTTCACTCAAACATGTAGGTATTATGAAGAAAAACCTTTACAACCCAGTACTTTGAAATGTGTAATTGACTTAGTAGAATCCTAATTCAGCAAGTGCTGGAAATGTGACCCATTTGCTTCCATACAATAATACAGATTTTGCTCAAATCTATTCCTAACATTCTATAGCATATCAGGTGTTATACTTCTGCACTCTGCTGTAATTCGTTGGC